TTCCTCGTGTGTGTGTGTGTGTGTGTGTGTGTGTGTGTGTGTGTGTTTTATATGTGTGTGTTTTTATATTCCTATGGGTTTTTTATTTGATCGAAATCATCCAGTGTTACAGTATATCTTACTCGTAGGTCTGTTGATATCATCGACAATACCTTCAATTTAATGCTTTTGGCATTATTAATATTTTTCGCTACGCTGTTTTGTCTTCAAGGATTTCTGATTGTTAATGTAAGTTGCTAAAAAGGAAAAGAATTAATCTTCTTCTTAAATAAAGATATCTATTGTAGTAAGTAAGATATCTTTGTTATTATTTTTCGCTGTAATTAAAGTAAAGGAGATAAAGAAAAATCTCATCTTATAATCACGATGTTTTTTAATTCCTCTGTACAAAATGGCACGTATTTAAAGCTAGGATATTAAAATAAATTTTCTAAAAAAAATTTTCAAAAAAAACGTTGATAGAAAATATATTATTATGTTTAGATCGTTGATGGAGTCGACAAAGTCTCCTTTATGCGAATATGTTGGCTCGTTTCGATTCTTATTAATACCTTCGTTCATATGTGTCTGTATTGTGTAGTCGGGGAGATTCTTATAAGTAAAGTAAGTACTTATCATTCATACAAATACGACAAAATAATATTACAAATATTACATTTGTACTGCTTCTTTTATCTAATGTTTTGATCTAGAAAATTTCTAGAAATTTTCTGATCTATTTGAATCGTCATATAAGAGTCTTCCAAGTTTGTGATTTATGTTATTTATAAAATATTTAAATAATACAGGTTTTATGATGTGAATAATATTTACAGGCCGAAGGAATATTTTACGCGGTGTATAACTACACGTGGTATTTGCTGACACCGAATGAAGCAAGAAATCTCTTACTGATAATGATTCGTACCGAAAAGCCTCTCTACATTACCGCGGGAAAAATATTTCCTATGACATTGTCCATGTTTTGCAGTGTAAGATATCCATAATTTGTCATACAAATACGATTAAAAAAATACGATTAATTCAATCGGCGATTAACTTATCGAATAATTCTGGTGATATTCCGAGATATTTCATTAATAATGAATAAAATTATTAATTTTTTCTTTTTTTCTTATGGTAATATGAAAAAATGAGAAATTGGGAATGTAAGTAGAAATTTTTCTATAAGCGATTGAGTTAATCATCGATTTTTATTAAGCTTAATCCAAGTTATTCTTATAAAACCGTCCATCTTATTTTATCTAAATTTTTTAAATTATTTATTATCGCCCTAACACACGCGTATTATTATCATTTTACATATACTTCATATATTTTTTTTTCAGTTGATAAAAACATCAGCTGGTTACGTATCTGTACTGCTCGCTAATCGATAAATCTACGACAGATCGATCACAGAAACTCATACAATGAACATCGTGAGCGAAAAGGAAAGAGCAAACTATTTAAATAAATAGTATGTAATTATATTTTTATTTATCTAATGTTTATCTATTGTTTCGAGTGCCATTGTTATTTTAAGTAAAAAATATATTGACATGTATAACTATTAATAATAAAAGAAGAAATTATAATTATAACGAATTGTTGTCAACATTTTTAATACTAGATACTCAAGATATATCTAAAAACGTTTTATATTCACATTTTACAGTCTATAATATAATACAATTACATTTTATAAACTATGTAATATGACTAAATTATAAATTAATGATGATTAATTATGAAAATCAATAATTTCATAAATAAGTAGATACAAAATTTTGTTGTATGTATCATTCGCGTTGTCATTCAAAGTTAAGATATCAATCTGAAGTTTATCTTATTCACTTATCATTTATGCAATATAAATATCTTCCTCGATCCTTTCCAGAGAATAATTTAGAGCGAAGATATTTCGAAGCAAACAACAATAGACATTATTCGCTTTGAATAGAACAATAGTAAACACAATTTCGCGGTATTGTTCACATGTAGTCTTCTGCTTGTTCAGCGGACAGTGCGCCTGCGCAAGATATCTTGACATTAGCGCACTCTTGGATAGCGAAGACATCCTGAATAACATGATGAACACTCAATGCCAGTCAACAGTCGCGATATAACTATGCAGATTCACTTTTCATACCGTATCTTTTATATATTATATATTTCTATCTATATAAATTAACTTTTTATTAATCCTAATTTAACATACTTTTTATCTTCTTTTAGTTTTAAGCATTAGAAAAAATAGAGTAAATTAAATTGAGGTTAAAGTAAACATTGATAAAAATGAATATTACTTGATATCTTTATTTTTTTGCCATATCTTGATCATTTTGCCACGTTCTCAGTTGTCTATCCGGAAGTTTGTTTTTCATAGCTGAAAATTTGTACATTTATTATAAATGAAATATATATATATATATATATATATATATTCATAAATATATATATATAAAATGTATTCGAAGTTGGGTGAAAATAAGAAACAAAATTTTAGATCAATCCAGTGTAGCATTAAAAACGGATTTTAATATTGTATAAAGAAACAATGGCTGCGTTCAGCAGAGGAAGCAGATCAGCGTTCAATGATTCTTTATTATGATTGGTTTCTATACTTAGATTCAATAAAGACCAATCATATTGAAAAATCACTGAACGCTCACTGATCTGCTTTCTCTACTGACGCAATCAATAATGCTCATAAGTAAAATTGGAAAAGAAATTACTCTCATGTTCATTTTTATCTATGTAGGTTAACTTTAATCTTGGCTTAATTTATTCTCTTTATCTTTTTCTAATTTTTAGAACTAAAAAGCAAGCTTAAAGGCAATTTACATTACATTTATATTTATATAGAAATGGATCAATTGCCTGCTTCTCTCTCCACAGATTAGTATTTTGATTCTTAGAGATAAAAAGTGCCAGGAAAACAAGAGAAAAAAGAGCAATTATATAATCTAATTTTCACAAATTTTTATAGTACACACATTTCTATCGCAATGAATTTTATTGGTCACAATCGTTTACGACTAGGGGCCCTATTCTTGAAACATGTCGCCTATGAAAAGCCTATAATATATGCCACGTACATTATAGGATTTTCATTTTTTGTACAATATATTTTAAAAATAGGGCCCTAGATTACGCAGCGTAGCACTTTTTTTTCACGGAATGAACCTATTGTGGTTCAGTTATCCGATACCGTTCTCGGGCATTTGCTGAATTAGTTTTGAATTCTCAAATCAAAACCATGATATTAAATTGTGAGGCAAATATTCGTTAAAGAAGTACGAAAGAGAAGACACTGGTGTATCTTTAAAGATATTCGTGAGAAAAAAAATAAAATTCTTACATTCATTGCTTACGTACCTATTATTTTCGTTCGAGAGTGTTCGATGAACTACAAAAACCGGGGGAAATCAAAGACAGAGTAAAAGATAAAGAATTAAAAACGATTTTTCAACTTAAATATTAAAGAATGACGAATTGGGATCGTTCGCTGGGTGGTTTCAAAATCAGGTGAGAATTGTATTAGTGAATTCACATTATTATATTTATTATAATGAAATTGTTTCAGTGATTTAATATCAGATAATGGAGTTACATTTGAAATTGGGGAAGAGATTGAGGAGGAAGAAGAAATTGGATTTTCTCCTCATGTTCATTTTAGCAATGAAGAAATGTTGAATATGTTAAACATGAATGAATTTGAAGATGAAACTGAAGATAACGAGAAAGAAATCATGTCTCTTTATGGCATGAGTTTCTCAAAGCTAAAAGCAAAGATGACAAGTATAACTCCAGATAAAAAAGTTAATAAGATTTTCCATTGTTTTTTATGTATTATTTTTTCTTTACCTGTCCAAAAATGAGATACAATTCTGTCATCTATAATTTGATTGATATTAATAAAATAAAGATAAGCATATAATTTTAACCAGCATAATGAAATTGTTAGGTCATGAAGTTTGTCAAGCAGAAAGGTATTGGAGAAGTGGTTCCATGCAATGCACAAATCACAATTCATTATATTGGATATTTTGAGTACAGAGATGAGCCTTTTGATTCTACTTATTCCACTGGCAATCCAAGAACATTGCGCTTAGGCCAGAGTTGTATTATATCTGGTTTAGAAATTGGTATAAGTACTATGCAAAAGCATGAGATAGCAGTATTTCTGATACATCCTGATCTTGCTTATAAGGCTTTTGGTTGTCCACCCCGTATTCCACCTAATGAGGAAGTAGTATTTGTGGTTCAGTTACTAGATTATGTTGATGATGGTTGTGCAAGTATGTACAATGACTTTGATTTAGAAGAGAAGCAGTCATTTGAAAATGTATTAAAGCCTGTGTCACATATGTTTGTATCTGCTAAAAACCATGCTACAAAATATAACCACAAATTGGCGATACGAGAGTAAATACATAAAATATCTACAATTGTATAATTATGTCTATTTAATATATATGTATATATATATTTTTTTTATAGATATAGGAAAATTATAGATTGCTTGGAGACGATCCGATTAAAAGATAATGCAGAGGAAGAAAAAATGAAAAAATATCTTTCACGAGCTTACACTAATCTTGCCATTTGTCATAACCATTTAAATGAATCTCGTAAGGCTTGCATAGCCTGTAGAAAAGTGCCAATACCAACAGCTAAAAGCTATTTTAAGTATGTACTGTTGTTAGTTATTATCATGTTAAATTTATATCGTTTATGAAATTCTTGTATCGTAGTTTTGGAAAAGCTTTGCTGAATCTTGGAGAATACGACGCAGCAATGAAGGAATTGCAAAATGCTCATGCATTAGAACCACGAGATGAAGTTATCAAAAAAGCAATTCAGACAGTGAGGCAAAAACAGACAAGATTAAAAAAAACTAATTTTTTATAATAATATGAATGTTTTCTTACAGGCCAATGCGAAACAGCGTGAGTATTTGGAAATAGAGAAACGTTTGTGGAAAAACTGCTTTAAATCCAAGGAAGATAAAACGAAAATTACTGAATTTCGAAAAGCTGCTCGTGATTTGTGTGAAACCATTATCAATAGCGATGACATAACAAGACAATCTCTCCCAGAAGGTTTAACAAAAGAAGAAGAGGAAATTGTGCGTGAAGAAGCTGCTATATTAGGATTAAATATTGTTATATCTAACAGATATGGCAAAGAAACTGTATATCTCCAGAAAAACAAATCGTAAAATTACATTCCTGTTGTTTATATTGAGGACCTTTATAACTCATATTGCAGTTTCTTTTTTTGAGGTTTTAAATATAGTTCTTTAGATTTATAACTATGTTGAGTAAATGAAACTATTTCATGATTTCAAGGATTTTGAGGAAGGAGTATTATATATGTCACTAATGCGAAAGAAGATTACATAACTACTAAAAAATAGCCTTATAATTTTGTATTTTTGTATCTTTGCTTCTTTATCAGTACAATAAACTATAATTTTGTATAATTTTGATAAATATTGTTTTAATCAGTTCCAAATCTATAAAACCTATAAAAATGTAATTAAATTATGTTTCTCTATGTTACTATTTAGATGTGCTTAAATTAGAATAAACAAACAGCGGAAGTTCGTGGACAATTCTTATTATGCTTTGTGCTCGATATTGGTAATAAGATCTAATAATGTAGCTCGAGTAATATAAAAATATTTCATTTACGTAACATAAGGTATATAAAGGTATATAAGAAATCGTCCAACGAAAACATTGAAAGTTATCATAATGACTCCACTAGTTGCAACGTTCTTCGTATCTTTGCTCCTAAGTGACGTGTCGTTTCTTTTACATATATAATTTTAAAAAATAATGATCGAGTGAGAGTCTATTCTTATTAATTGTTTTTAGATATACCTTTTAATATAGCTGAATTACTGGGAAATCGGCCATCAATTCAAGGTTTTCAAAATCATCATCCTGAAGAAAGTCTTCTGGACATTTTTATAAATCCGACATCGATCATCTCAAATGATCACGGGACAATTGGTAATATCCTTGATTTGGATTTTAAAGCGGAGGATATAAATTATGAACTTTATACCAAGAATAATAAAGAACAAGCCGTTTCTCTACGAGTGGATGATGCTACACGATTGAGAGATTCACCATTTAATTCAGCATGGCCAACCAAAATTATTATTCACGGATGGACAGAGAATGGAAATGCTTTTTGGGTACACGATATTCGACGAAATTATCTCAGCATTGGGGATTATAATGTGATCTGTATAGACTGGTTCGCCGGTTCGACCAAAGAATATCTGACGTCCGTCAAACTCACTCGTCAGGTGAATGAAAAAATTTATATATTTTAATAAAAGATTAAATTATTAAAAAGAACATTTTATTTTTCTCGGAAAGTGATATCTGTAATAAACTTGTTATATCCATGCAGGATATAACAAAAAAAAAGATCTGTTTGTAATATGCAGATTGTCACAATGAAAATAAAAACGAAATTGATTTTACAAAAAAGAATCTGATTCAATTTGTTTTAATATGCGCATTTAACTTTTGCAATACAGAAACGTAATGCAAAATCAGCATTCGTATTTTGCAGGTGGGTGAATACGTGGCTGCGTTCATCGAATTTCTCGGATCAGAGGCTCAACTTTCCTTTGATGACATTCATATTTTGGGACACAGCTTGGGTGCTCACGTAGCCGGATATGTTGGTAATTATGTGTCCAAAAAACTCGCTCGGATTACCGGACTCGATCCGGCTGGCCCAGGGTATGAGACGCCTTATTTCAAGGACTCAGAGGAGCGACTGGATGCTGAAGATGCCAATTTTGTGGATGTTATCCACACCTGTGCTGGCAGTTTAGGCTTTCTTAGACCCATAGGACATGCGGATTTTTATCCAAACGGAGGAACATTTAGGCAACCCGGATGTCCAATATTTTCATCCCGTACGATACCAACATTGTATTCTACAATACAAAATGCAAGAGGATATTGATTTAGCTTGTATTTTTAGAGTCCTGCAGCCACGGTAGATCGCATCAATTTTTCGCCGAGTCTATTGTGCATTCGGACGGCTTTGTCGCCGTACAATGCGCCAATTGGATGGATTTCCAGCTTGGTAAATGCGGCAGTAATAATTCCAGCATTGCTGTTATGGGTGAATTTATCAACACTGACGTTCGAGGTATTTTTTATCTGATAACCAACGCACAGCCACCGTTTGGGAAAGGCGAGATAAAATGAAGGATAATAGAAACGTTTAGATGTAACTTCGCATATTCACATTGATTACACATACATATGTATTTCGTTATAATTAGCAATATCGCAAGAAAACGTACAAACGTAGAAAGTACTTCGCTTATGATACCTCTATTATAAATACACTATAGTATAAGATAGTACGATATAAAATAATAAAAAAATTATGCAAAATGGAAAACTGCATGTGATAATGGACACGTTAGTTTTATGTATTTAAGCCATTTCAGTAAGCGTTGCCTCTACAGTGGACGGTTTCTCGACTTCGTCTCCGAATCGCATGCGATACTTTCGACGGACTGTATCCCAATCGACGACATTTTGTATCTTCGGAATATTATTTAAAGAAGTTTGGCTGGTAGACGGACTTGATTGAAGTAACGAGAAGTTAATTCGGTCCCTCGCTGCTCGCGGTAAAGGAAGCATTTTGTTATTCTAAAAAAAAAGAGAAAAAAAGAATTATTAAAAATTACTTAATAAGGATAAAGAAAGAAAATTTATGTGGAATTATTCAATAAAACACTTCGGAATTTTCGATTTTTGTTTTTAATTTATCAGAAATGTGATAAAATTTGACCAAATTTAGAGTTCTTTAATGTGTAACTGATAGAAATGCAATAAAATATTGCTAATAAATTGTGACATTATAATATGCAACAAACAGTATCTACGTACGGTGGAAAATTTTGGGAAACTTTGATGCATATCGGGTTCCATATATCCACGCGATCTGCCGATTTTCTGCCTTGCAATTCGTTCCTTCATACAAGCATTCTTAAGATATTCCGCCCATGTGGTAATGAGATTTAATGGTGCTGGAGCAGTCCTCGCCCTTTGAGAAGAAAGATCGAGAATATAATTACAGCATAGAGTTACAAATTTAAATGAAGATTGCACAAGCATTTAAGTTTTATATGAAAGTCAGACGAAAGAATTACACTCCAAGATTTAAAAAAATTTTTGTAAATGTGATTATCAATATATGTAAGTGATACGAAAATTTCAATTTTTATTTTATATAAAATAATTTTTAAATTATGTAATTTATATATAATTTATATAATTTATATATAATTATATAATTTTTTATATAATAATTTTTAAAAAGATCTTTGATGAAAACTTAGTTGCTATTTGTACTAAAGTCTTAAGGACTAAGAATTAAAATTTTAAGAATTAATTTTTTCCATTTGCAAAATATTTTTTGTCGAAATTATATTTACTTACTTTTGCATCTTGCGAATTAGTTTACTGAGACCGTACTTCCATTCGATATCACTCTGTGATTGAATGTTATGATATGTGTCGCTCATCATAGCAATTAACAAATTAATCAATACTATGACACTGACGAGCATGTATAATGAGAATGACACCTACCGAAAAGTAATTATTTGTTAAATTGTAATTGAAGACAATTAAATATATGTAGGAAACTAATATAATCATTCCTCACCTTGAAGAAATTAACCGTCCACCACGGCTGTAGCTTCGCTTTTAATGAAAATGTAAAATCTTCGGTGTCTTTTTGTCCAAAAATGGCGAAGAAAAGATTCTCCGTGATATCAATCGCACTAACCTTCACTGTGCAAACAGAGAAAAAAATAGTAAGTTAAAACAATTAATTTATTGACATATTAATCTCATTAGTTATATCCATTTATATATCTTATTGAAAATCAGTGTTTGAATTAAATATTTTCCTACGCTAATACAGCAGTGTAGTACAAGGCAGAGTGTTGGTAACTAATAGTTGTTAAAATTTTAAAATTACTTTAAAATTACTTTAAATGTTGCAGTTATAGTTGCAAATTTCGGACTACACCACTGCTGAATGGATCGAATTTTCGCTATCTATTCATCGTCATTCTGATTACAAGCAGAGAAAGTCGTATGATATTTACAGTTGTTGAGTTTTTAAATTGTAGAAATTCATGCTGACGATAGTCAACTACCCTAATCTTCGTTCAGTAAAAATCGATCAATCAGAAGAAAAGTCAGCGAGCTTTATAAAACCTAAAACATGCGATGAGATGAGTAGCGCGTATCGAGAGATTTCGATGAGCAAATATTGAGTAAAAAACTGCAAAGAGAATGTCCACATTCGACATATCGGTGAAGAGTTTTCTAAACGCATTCAAATGCAGAATGGATGCGATGAATGCGGCTTGCAACGTGAGAACTGCATTTCGATTCGCTTTGCACCCCATAAAAAATAGAGAAATTAAAAAGGGAATTGATACAAATTTATATTCTCTGTAAACCTATGAATTCCTAATTTACGAAAGGAAAAACAGGTTTTGTAGGATTGAATTTTTTTCTTCTTCTTTCATTTACTTTTACAACATAGTAAATTAAATTCCTAAAAAAAAAGGATTAATTTTATGTAATATAAGGCTTCTTTTCTTTTTAACTAAATTTCTTGCACAGGTTCATCTTTTAGCTTTTTTTCTCCAACATGGAAAAATCTATATTAAAAATTTGTCTAACACTTATTTATATATTTGAGAAGAAACAGAATAAAATTTATTTAAACCTTTCAAAAATTTCAATTTTAAAGATTAAGCGTTTGTTATACAGAGAAGAAATTTTTTTTGTCGAATTCGCTTTAATTTAACTATTTTTTTTACAGGGTGTAACATTTATGATGCGTGCCAGTCGAACAACGTGCGGATGATCGAGAGGTGTGTCTTGTAGACGCGTAGCAAATGTTCAACTCCAATTAACGTATCAACATACATGCTACACATCAAGTTTGTGTGTATATATGTGTATAATGACGTGAACTTCGAAGGCAGTTCTAATATCACAGTCCTATGTAGATACACATCCTACAATCGAGCGCGCCGGTATATTACGCGAAAATAATCGTGAGCAACATGATGCAGGCATAATGATCGGTGCGTGCATCGTTGCAACAGCATCATTATGCAATTGCGTTCTACACACACACACATATATATATATATATATATATATATATATATATATATATAGACATGTACACATAGCATATATAGAGCGCAATAAGTATATGGGTCTATATCGTACATATGATCAAAAAAACATTCCAGGTGGGAAGAGAATTTATAATTAAATAATATTGATGACTAACCGTCGAACGTGACGTCGAACGATCCCTATGTACACGGGTATTCCCCATGGTAGCCTCTAAAACGTGTTATAGGTAATCGATTAGACTATGGATCACAAGGAGCACGGGTTCGCTAATTAACAATAACTATAGAGACGACGCAAAGTCGAGCTTAGGCGTTTATTTCGAAAATACTGACAAGGTACTCCGCACGCCCTACGGCGATATGTACAAGTTTAACGCATGCGACTAAACGCATTAATACGGCGAATATGCGAAAACAGGAAGAGTTCTGCTTTCTCTCCTCCACGAGAGGATGTTACGTAATATTGTCGATGATTATCCTCAGCGGTTTCCCTTCTCGTTTTCAAACACCAAGTCCGAGCTTCGATTTTTCGGCATCGCTCGATGAACCCTCCAAGACAGCCAGTGGATTCGTCTCCGTCGACTCCTTAGCCTCTTCGACCGGCTTCTCTTCGATCTTCTCGCCGTAAAGATCCCTGTATTTGCGTCTGACAATTTCCCAATCGACAACGTTGTCGATCTTGACCGTGTTGCTGAAGGACAGCTGGCTCCCGAGGGGACTCAGGTGAACGACCGATAAGGCGACGCTGTCCTTATGTCCCACCTGCGTGTTCTTCTTCACCTTAGACAACCATTTGGCACCCATCCTGGTACGAGGGGACAGTCGGGCACCGCCCATCAGGTGCATCAGGGACGGCCGCTGTTGCTTCTTGGTCAAGCGTTTCTTGCAGAGTTTAACGAAATACGTGATCCACGTAGACAGGAGATTCAGCGGAGATGGCGCCGTGGTGGTCCTGTCGAAAATTCGATCGATTAGTGCGACGATACGTGTGAATGGGATTTTTCACGCGAGATACACGACAACCTACCGTTCGTTCTCTTCAGAGTCTTTTTCTTTTTCGGTACGTCCTATTACCTGTGCATATTTCGAACGAGCTTGCTCAATCCGTATTTCCACTCGATGTCCGACTGCGCCTGTATCCGCTGATAGGTATCGCTCATCATGGCGATCAGGAGATTAATAAGCACCACCACCGACACCAACATGTAAATGCCGAAGGCGAGCTTGAAGAGGACGGTCGTCCACTCGGGCTGCAGCTTCTCTACCTTGAACTGTTCGTGTGTCGTCTGACCGAAGATGGCGAAGAACAACAACTCGACCGCGAGTACGGGAAACATCCTGACTGTAAATATGCGTTAAACAACGTGTCTGGTAAGGTGTATAGGCGAGCGGACGTATGCAAAAATTCTCTGCCACTGTCCAGACACATGCTATAATGTTGCTACTACCAAACGTCGTAAAAAAGATCGATTTTCAAGCCATACAAGGTATACATATGCTGCGACCGGTACAAACTCTTCGATTTTGTCTGTCGTCAGAAAAAAGTCCAAGCGCCTAAGAAAAACGCGCTCTTGTAACGGGACGGTTTCTAACTTCAAGCGCGTGAAACATAAAAGGGAATTGGAGAGACTAGCAATGTATTTGTTACGTGCAATTATCCCGTACATCGCAAATGTTCAAAGGACATCCGACGCGGTAAGAGATCTCCTTTGGAGATCTAACTTTTAAACGTTTGCAATGTCAGAGATATTTCATTATAATGAACCGTTCGTGTAAGCGTTAATTAAAGTTAACAAGACTGAGACTCAGGCTCTAAGATGCCTTCTCAATTTTTTTCTACGGAAACATTCAGTCTTTAGTCGAGTCATCTTATTTAACTCTAATTAATGTTTACAGAAACGGCTCTCTACTGGAAAATCTCGTCGCAACGGATCGATCGAGGAAAAATCTGCATCCTACGGCATGATGACGCGGATGAATGATCCAACATTCAATGAAACATCGAGAGCGAGAGCGGATTATGACGGGGATTCGTGACGATTCGCGGCATTCGCAGGTATCATGGTCGTGCCATGTGACGGAGAGGATATGATGTGTCGACGGAATTGGCCCATTCTCATATTTCAACAAACAACACCAATTATATTATGCGTTCCTACGAGATTTCACGTGTCACACGTCGAGAGGCTTTACTTACTCAGATGTTTTAATGCTCGGCCGGTCGCCGGTGCGCCGAGGATCGCGCAAGGATCCTCTATCATGGTCTCGCTCGATCGTCTGAGGATCTGTGTCTGCGATAGCGGTTTACGATATTTTATTTTCGTAGAGGATGGGTATCTTTTGTTTCTTTTCTTTCTTTTTTTTTTTTTTTTTTTTAGCGCACGTGTCACCAAGTGTTTCTAGTAAACAATACGGAGCGCGATTGCGCGACGGCTGTGTCTAGAGTCGCTCGTTTGCTCGCGCTGCTTTTCGCGCTGACTCGCATTCGGCAAATCGGCCGAATGGTAGCAAGAGGCGACGGCGATCTTTTACGTGGGCGGATTGGAAACTGTCGCCGGTACCGTCGAGGCGTTGGATGCCGTCGGTCCGTTATCGTCCTCGTTTTCGCCCTCGTCGCCCTTCTCCTCCTTCTCCGCTTCTTCCTTCTCGGGCTCGTTCCCGGTCAGGGCAAGATACTTCTTTCTGATCGAGTCCCAGTCCACTACGTTCTCTATTCTAGTCGCGCTATTGAAGGACAGCTGACTGCCCAGCGGACTGAGGTGTACCACGGAGAGGGTCATACTATCCTTCGGGCGGACCTGACCCTTCTTAACCTTGGCCAACCATTTCGCGCCCATCTTCGACCTGGGTGATAAACGGCTGGCATGCTGCAGCCCCATCATGTGCACCAGCGAGGGCCGCTTGCGTTTAGCTTTGCGCTGCCTGCACAGCTTGATGAAGTACACGGTCCAGGTGGTGAGCAAGTTTAGCGGGGACGGAGCTGTGGTAGTTCTGTAACACGCAATCCCAGCGTCCCAACACGGAATGCTCCGTTAACCCCGAATGCTTAATAGCGAGCTAGTTTAAGGATCGAGACCGCGGCGATACGTTACGGCTGTACGTTACGTAAAAAGCGGACAACTGCACGGCTCGTCTTGTCTGCACGTGAGTCGCGATGGGAGAACGCGATGGAATACGCGAAAGCGTCGCTTCGAAATAACATTTAACTCTATTTATAACGTCGACATGCCGGCCGAACGTGGGAAAAGATAATCGTGACGTGACTATTTTGGTCAGAACCGCGAATCGATTATCATAGCGGTTCATCATAGCGGACGCTATATTATCGCACGTATATTCGGAGTCGTAAAAGGTCGCAGGCTTACCTGTGCATGTTTCGGATCAGTTTACTGAGCCCATATTTCCATTCAATGTCCGACTGCGCCTGTATCCGTTGATAAGTGTCGCTCATCATGGCGATCAGCAGATTAATCAACACCACTACCGAGACCAACATGTACACGCCGAAGGTCAACTTGAAGAGGACCGAGGTCCACTGCGGCTGATTGACCTCTACCTTCAACTCGCCGTGGGTCGTTTGGCCGAAGACGGCGAAGAACAGATACTCGAAGGCGAGTACCGGATTCATCTTTACTGGAATTACGAGGCACACACACACACACACACAAGACGTTTCTTGGTAGCTCTAAAGGCTCTTTCGTTCTCCTTTTTTTTTTTTTTTTTTTCTTTTTAGCTCATTTGCTTGCTTTGTGCCATTACAGATCGGCTACTACTGAGGTGGGGTACTCGCTATGAATGCGCACGTGAGTATTCCATAACGTACAATAACGATCGAGCGAGCGAGCGAGCGAGCGAGCGAACGGGCGAACGAACAAACGGAACGAACATGCTTCATGCATATCTTTTATATAGACTCTGGCCATGCTCTTGCAGCTTGCGGCTGCGGACTAACGCCGGATGCATGCCATGAACCTTTCATTGCTGCGATCGTCGTCGAGTACGTACTGTCACGTACTCGTCTTTTAAGCCTCTAATCGTCGCTCTAATTCACCTTGCTTTTACATCCAAATCGGATGTAATCGCGCGATTCCCTTTTTTTTTTATTTATTTTTTTTAATTTTCTTTTCTTTTTCTTTTCTCCTCGTCGTCCCGCGTCACAAGGATACGTCGTGACGATGAAGATTGACGTGAGATTCTCTATCGTCGGACCAGCGCGTTGCAGGACGCGCGACGAGTCCAACGATGCATCTTGCTAAGCAGGGGAGAGATTGCATTCCTGATAAAATCGACGCGCCTTTTTTCGAGGCAGCTAGTGATCGAACAATGTGGAGAGGGGGGGAGAGGGGGGGGGGCATTCGTAGTGCGTTCCATGCTGAATGAGATAGAGAAAGAGAGAAAGAGAGGAGGGCGCGAGTGGAGAACGTTTTGAAACGTATCGCGCGATACATTTCCGGTGGATAAAGGGATGCGACATGCAGCTCAGGGGTTGCACGTCCTCCTCCTCACTTGCCTAGCTTGCACGACTCCAAAGGCGGGCGTGTCACATCGCGCAAAATGTTGCTCGCATGCAAGGACGCAAAAAAGAGAGGTTTCTCTTTCGGCCGAAAAATGGTCCCGATTCGTTGAAAAAAAAGGAGGAGAGAGAGAAAAAAAGAAAGAAAAAAGAAAGGGAAACGCGAAGAGAGTGATTCCTTCGTGGAGTGAGACACAGAAGTCCGCAGAAGTCCATCGAGTCACACATAAAGAAACGACCGTGCGGTTGAGATGCACATCACGAATTGCATACAACATCGGCGTTCACTAGCATAAAACGTTTCTAGTAACTCACAATTATGACAAATACGATATAGGTACAGAAAACACGCACGTACATACACATATGTGTGGGTGTGGGTGGTGTGTGTGGATATGTAGGTGTGTGTGTGTGTGTGTGTGTGTGTGTGTGTGTGTGTGTGTGTGTGTGTGTGTGTGCGCGTTCATGTATGTATAATACATATACAGAACACATACGTACAGCGAGACACGGGGATGCACACGGGCAGAGGCTGTGAAAAGAAACACGAGCACATATGCTCCGGCAATAATGCTAATCGATAATGCTAATCGATAACTAATCAATTGCATGGGCAAAACGGTCGTTCTTGAGCTTTCAGATCAATTTTTGTGTTTTAAATATTCGTCCGACACGCTGCGATGCGGGTGCTTCGTTTGAAATTTCGAATTTGAATTAAAGAGGGATATAAAAGACATGTAAAAAATTTTGCAACTTATATATATGATAATAAGTAATATGTCGTTTTTGCAATATTGTATTTTAAACGGTTACAATTAACTGGGAAAAAATATCATTCTCGATCGTTATCTTTTCATCATCGCTTCCGAATCGCAGCATACGACGCGAACAAGGAATGATACTTGATTTCGATGGCATGGTTATTTTGTTCGATTTTCTTTTTTTTTTTTGGTCTTTCTTTTCTTTTTCGCTTCTTTAAATCAGGCAGCAGTCTCAGCAGACAACACACACTGGCCAAATGCACGATGCAGACGAGACGACACCGAAATGGATCGTGTCCTGCATTCAGTTTCGCGTGCGCGGATTTTTTTTTGTTTCGATTCGCTTTCCGCTCGGGTTGCTTCTGATTAATCTTTCTCAACCAGCTGAAAACTTACAATCTCTGCTGTTATCGTCACAGCACTCATTCTTTTTCTTGTAGCGGCCGTAGCGACGAGGAGGCGCCGTTGGTGGCGTCTCCATCATCCATTCCGTAACATTGGTCAACAAATCTATTATTGCAATTCATTCAATTATGATTCTGTATCGCTCCGCATGTCTCTGAGTGTGATCGACATGAAGCAGACTTACTTTGGAAATTTCGAGAAATGATAATTAAGATATCTATGCGCGCATGTGGTTCTTTCGAAGTGGGATTAAATTTAGCGAAGGAATGGGAAATTGGGGATAAATCTGTTTCAGCGTGTAAATTAAATTTGCGCTGAATATACAGTCAGTATAATTTCGATGAGTTTAACTTCCGACCTGCGCGCGTTTCAACATCGAAATCTGAATTCATCGAAATTGCACTCACGTAGTTCGAATATATTGTGATTGTAAATTAATATAAAGAAGAGGACGCGATTGCCGATTTACACAAAGGAGGGAACTGCAGCCGTTATTTCGGCACCCACGCGAATCTGCGTGGGCGAAAGCACTGTCTACATCCTGTTAATAGAAATCAGTACCGCGTCGAAGCGATTGCCAATCTAAGATCTAGCCCTACGTAGTAGGTATTTATCTACGTAATGTATCTACGGTACATGTCGTATCTACAGTACGTGTGCGCGTATATGTATGTATCCTATAGACGGGGGGCTGTAAAAAATCAATTAACTGCGCCACTAGCTCTAGACTGGCGTCAAGATATATAGTAAGAAAGAAAGAGACAGAGAGAAAGAGGAGAGACAGAAAGAGAAACAGAGAGAAAGAAAAAGAGAAATAGAAGTCTTCTGTAGAAGGAAAGGAAAACCTAAAATTAAGAGTGTGTTTCGAACTTACCGTCGGAGAATGGCTTCTTCTGCTTTCTGTCCTCCAGGCGCGCTTCCTGCACCGATTGGTTCTTGAACGCCTGATTGAGCGCGACGAAGTGCATGGAGAAGCCGAAGACGAAGATCGCCAATACCGAGAGGAACCTCGCGAGATCCTTCATGAGATTACCGATGATGATGGCCCACGGCCCGAACAGATGATGAAACGACAGGAAGTCCAGAATCTGCACGCAAGCTAAAAGGAAACTGAGAGCGAAAAGCTGGTTTCTCAGGTAGAGAAGAGTCGGCCAGTACGGTCTCTCCACGATTACGAATCCCATCAAGTGGAACGCGACGCCGAATATGCCGAAGAGCAGCACCGCCAGTTTGATCCAGCCAAGGCCGCTCTTGTCGCTGGGATTCGTCAGTTCGAACAGCAACAGTCCCGACAGCATCACCAGCAAACACCACTCGTACCAATACGGTATCAGGCTGGCTCTCACCACTGGGTAGATCGGCGTGATGCCGACCAGTAACAGGAAGACCATCAGATAAATGTGCGATGTGAGATACGACATGAATTTGATGATAGGCACGTTATTGTACTTGTGCCCGAGCGGAAGAGCGAACACCACCCAGACCGGCGGGCACACGATGAAGGCGATGAACAGCAGGATCGTCCTGAACGTGCTCCAATTCAGGCCACCCTGCCACAGCTCCTGCAGATAACGTTGCACCACGGTATGCGCGATCACCTCCTTCTGCTCGTTCTCGATCAACACGTCCAGGAACTCGACATTCCTGCGATCCATCGACGTCAAAATCCTGCCGGCCGAGTCGGCGCCCGCCGCCAGAGCCAGTAACTCGGTAGCCATCGCCTCGCACTGTTTTCCGGCCGCGATTAGATCCTTAGCGCGTTCCTTCTCCTTTTCGGAAAGTTTCATGTAGATGTTGGATAGTTTGGCCGCAGTGTCGACTGGGGCAGGCGACACCAGGACGAACTCCTCGATCGGTTTGTTATTATGGCTTTTGCTGCAGACCATCATGTTGTAGACAAACTGAAAATACAATTTGTTTACAAATTAATAAATTTGAAAAAAGTTATTAATAATTATTATAACAAATTTAAGAAATTTTAAAAATTCACTAGTTTCCAGCAGTTTGGACAATTCTATTCTAAGAATTCGTATTTTTTCTCAGAAAAGCTTTCTCCAGAAAAGCTCTTTTCACTCTCTTCTTCTTGATAAAAATCAGTATCTTACCCTTCTGTCTTCCATCAGAGCGTACGTATCGTGCTCCTTCTCCATGAGATACTTCAGCACATCGTTATGACCTTCGGAAGCGGCGAACCAAATTGGTGCGCAGCCAAGATTCGTCTCGGTTTTCGGAGATCCGCCACTTTCCACCAGCAATTTTACAACATCCAGATGACCAGCGCGTGCCGCACAATGCAGCGGGGTCCAACCGTTCTTATCGGTCGCGTTTATTTCCGCTCCTTGACCCAAAAGAACCTCCACCATTTGATAATGACCATGAGTTGCCGCAATGTGCAGCCCGGTTTTGCCGTAACGATCCGAGCTATGCAACAATTCTGCTGATCTGCTCAACAACAGGCCCACGACAGTTATGTGGCCGCCGAAGCAAGCCAAATGCAAAGGATTCCAGCCGTTCTCCGTCGTCGCTGCGTCTACCTTTGGTCAGAATGTCCTCGTACTTCAGTTAAAGTGTTCAACGCGGTAGCGGCTTAATTCGTCTTTTAACAACTTGAGAAAGCTAATGATGACTCAATCTTATCAATTTAAATTTTCTCGAAATAAAAAAATTATGTCAATTAAGATCATAAATTTTTATATCAAATCTAAATAACGATTAGTGATTAAAATTATTGTCAAAGTCATACCTGAACTCCCGCGGAATTGAGAAGAAGTCGTACGACGTTTTCATTTCCAGAATAGGCAGCCAGATGAAGAGGAGTCATGCCGGATTCAGCACCTAACTCTCCTACTAGGGATCCTCCAGTTGGTGGATCAGATTTCACAGTTCCGGGTATGTGAGTTAGCAATTCTCTAACCGTGTCTGGAACAAAATCAAATTTTCTTTAAAAAACTAGAAGGAAATTATATAAAAAGTATTCAAAAAGTGATTCAATTGATATATTAAAAATTTGTTATCAACGTTCTTAAAATAATTTTAATAATGTTTAATGTAGTGTAAAAATTTAACATTTTTTAAATAAATATATTATATTATTTAAGCATAATATTATTATCGCTATATTCGTTCTTACCGGCTTGTCCGAAATAAGCAGCAACGTGAAGCGCGGTGACGCCGAGCTTCTTGCTAGATATCCTGAGAGATTGCGATGACCTCATCACTTCGAGTACCTGACCGTGACCGTGCTGAGCGGCCAAGTGAACTGCAGTAAAACCCGCGCGATTCTCATCAGCACAGGACGCACCTGCCCTGATCAGAGCCTTCACGACCTCGGCGTGTCCCCCTTCCGCTGCCAGTTGTAGAGGAGTTGCATCCGTCAGTTTATTCCTAGCGGTTATTACACCTTGCCTATCAAACTTCATCAGCTCCTCGATCACTCGGACGCTGCCTTGCATCGCGGCGATGTGAGCGCAGGTATTGCCGTCCTTGGTGCAGGCCATCACGAGGCTTGGGTGCCTCTGCAGAAAGAGCTGTGCCACTTCAGCGTAATTATTCATGGCCGCGGCGTGGATTGGTTTTTGTCCCTGGTCGTCTGTGGCGTCTATACTGGCCCCGAGTTCCAACAATAGCTTGCAGACCTCCAACTGGCCCGCTCCCGCCGCCAAATGAAGAGGGGTCTGCTTCCTCAGAGTGAGCACGTCTATCGCGGCGCCGTGATCCTGCACGAGGAACCGTACCAGGTGCGTGTAACCGTTCATGGCGGCCAAGTGCAGGGCGGTCCTTCCCACGCGTGACTTGGAGTTTATGAAGGCCTTGTTTGCCAATAACGCGTCGCAGATTTGCAGGTAGCCGTGCTCGGCGGCCAGATGAAGAGCGGATCTACCCTCCAGATCGAACACGTCCACTCTACCATGATTGGCGAGGAGAGTGGTCACCAGTTCCATGTGACCCCGATGGGCAGCGATCAGCAGCGGCGTCCAACCTACAGCGTTCTGTCGGTTCAAGGCCTTTTGGACCTCAGTAGCCGACATGCGACTGATTATCTCCGACAGGACCTCGTTGTTGCCCGCGAGTGCGCAGTGATGAAAGGCCGATTCTTGAGCCTGTCTAGTCTGCAACGAGACGTCCGCGCCGCTGTCGAGGAGAGCACGAACGACGGCGCGATCATCGCCGGGGGTATCAACCTCCGAGGGTTCGATTTGAGCAGCGTAATGGAGCGCACTGGCACCCTCGTTAGTGAGACTGTTCACGTAGGCAGTCGCCACTTCTGGACCCTTCTTGTCTTTTACGAATTCTATCAAGTATCGTACCACATCCGCTCTGCAACCCCTGCAGGCTAAATGCAAGGGCGTTTCTCCATTCTGAAGAAAATAGAAATCTCAGAGTAAATAGAAATAATTTAGCCATTATCCTGAGAAAGTCATCATGTCTTTTTTTAGGTTTTATTATATAGAATATGATTAGAATAATGTCAAAAATTTTTATTTATTTTATTTATTACAATTAATTATAATTAATTGTGTAAGAAATATAATTTTGTGAATTGGATCTTATCTCCTCTTTTGTCAACGTACTTTTGATTTATACATCGGATCTCCGCCATCGTCGAGGAGTAAAAGGAGCGTCGCTAAATTCCCGTGACTGGCTGCTACATGCACAGGCGTTTGGCCGTCGTCTGTTGTTAAATTGGGACCTGCCCCGGATTTCAATAACATCAGAGCGCATCTGTCACCGTCGGGCACCCTGGCGGCTATATGAAGCGGAGTTTCTCGAAGTTTTCCACCTCTCACGTGTACCTCCGCGCCGTATCCTAGAAGGGTTTCTACGACAGCTGGTTTGGCACTTTCCACGGCGATATGGAGTGCCGTATAATTATCGTTAGTTGTCGCGTCCACCTGCGCAACAAAAAGAAATAAAAAACGTATTACATAGAATAAGATAATATTTAATATTTGGATGTATAAAATGTCTTCATTTTAAACAACATGAAAATCAAATATATCTTTATATTTGAAATAAATGTTATTCGTTCATGCAGAAAATTCTAACAATATAACTATAATGTTGCAACAATATAACAATATAACTGTATTATTGAAATATTCCAAGTTACAATGAGTTATATGCTGTCTGAGTAAAGATGAATTAAAAGTGTGCGACGTTTGTGATAAAAAAAATATTGTCGAAGAAAGCTTGTCAAATTTTTTTGTTACTTGTTAAAATTTTTTTGCATGCAATGTTGTACGATTTTCAATTAATAATAATTATAATAGTCTTCACAACAATAACAACTGACTTACCTTTTCCCCTCGTTGCAGTAAAGTGCTGATAATACCCACGTGGCCATATCCTGCAGCCGTGTGAATAGATCTGGCACCACGTTTATTTGGCATGTGCAGATACACGCCCTTCTTGAAGAGCATAGTGGCACATTCTGAATGTCCGTTCAACGATGCTATGTGCATCAGAGTGGAGCCGTCTTTCGTTCTCTCGAAGATACTTGCTTTAAATTTATCGGCCAGTAGCTCGATGATGGAAGCGTGGCCGTTCTCCGCGGCCAGATGCATTGGCGTTCGATCTTGATGATCGGTGATTGAGGCAGAAGCTCTGACACCATAAAAATATTTCACTAAGGTTTCGTCACCCTCGGCGCTCGCTATGTGTAACGCAGTTTGTCCATCGCCCTGAAAAATATTTTTTAAATAGTGCAGTGGCTGATGCATGATTTTAAATAATTACTTATGTTTTTTTTTAAATTATTAAATTTTATTGAAAATTTTATATATTAATATATTAATATATTATCTTAATTTTTTATTTTAATTTGTTAGTACAATAAAATTAAGGAAAAATATCGCTTCTTTTTTAATTTGATTATTTTGACGATAAAAATTATATAATTCAGCAATTTTTTGTCATTAATAACCATTATCATTTTTTCGTCATTATCTTGTTTATAATGTTGTTCAACGTCTAATGTTACCGTGTTCTATGTATTGGCATTAATTAAGAACTTAAGTCCTGTCTACAATATTAATAACTCGACGCAGTGCGACAATTATTTATTATGCATTATGCATGCGTGTTCTCTCATACGTGTCGTAATAAATTTTTGCAGCTCAATTAGAAGCCGTCACAGTTGTACTGTATTGTTGCACGATAACAAAAAATATGAAGAAAGATAAAATTATTTTGTAAGGTAAACGCTATTACAATCAAAACAATTTTTAGAAACTTTGAGACTTTGTCATAAATTTTTATGGCTGCCTTGTTCTTAATTATTGCTATTCGTCTAGAAACATAACTTTGCTGTTGCAGCAATTTATCACGTGCATCATTTCTATTTCGTATGCAATCGATCTTGTTGAGTTTTGTACTCAATTCCCTTGCAGAGTTAAAATTTAAAGCTGAAATAATTGCGATAAATACAACCGATATATCGCGCTTTCTGCATTATATCACAAAATATTTTCGTAATCTGAAAATTCCATTAAAATTTATCGATTCAAAATTAATTGTACAATAATATTAAATTACGCAGTTATATTTCTAAAGCTGATGCTAGAAATTGTTTATGCGCGTTCAAAGAACGAAAGTGGTAAATGGCAATTTCCGACTGTCATAAAACTGTGGAAAGGATAATTAAACGCTGTGCGCATAGTTTGCCAAAATGCGAGCAAAATCGCCAAAGAGAGTTCGCGTTGTATTTACACATCGCAACGTTATAATTTGCGAGCTTCAAAGCACATTCGAGTGTGCTTTATAATTGGTAAAGTTCGAACGATATAACGTCCGATTATTATCAGGTCAATTTCGCTTCGCTTGGGACCTTTCGTGCTTGGATTAACGTACATTTTGCATGTCGACGGCCGCACCGTAATCCACCAGAATGCGCACCATGTCGATGTCTCTTCTTCTAGCGGCCAAATGCAGGGCAGAATCACCCGCTGGTGTGGTGGCGCGAAGCTGATCAGGAGCTTGCTGTGCCAGAAGTTCCCGGCACATCGATTGATTGCCAGCTTCGACTGCTAGCAGAAGGGGTATCTTTCCTTTCTGCGATTGAAAACAAAATTTAAAAAGAATTGTAGATAAATATTCTTCGATACGATAAGAAAGATATTCATGGTACAAGAATAACTATGTGATATAAAAGATGGTTTCAAAAATTATATAAATTTAAAAGAGAACATTTCGCAATTAATTTTATTTGCTTTATTTTGAAGGAGTGATTTGTTGTGATATGATATGATATGAAATAGCTTAAAGTAATCACGGCTTTGAAAGAAAGTTAATTGAAAAAAGATAATTGTTTAAAGTATGCTTTTCAGATTCCATAAATAAAGATTTCTCATTTATCAAAAAATTAATTTTGTTATATGTTATATGTTATTTTGTTATATGTTAAAATTATTAATAACATTATTAATTATTTGAATTATTAAGAATAAGAATTTAGAGATATTTTTATGAACATTTCACGTTAAGAAATCCTCGATCGTCGTAATATACGATACGAGAGTTTTCCGTGCTTATGCGAAACATTTAAATGTGCATCGGCTCGATGTCAACTATAAATTGTTTTTTTTCACACACAGATGACGAGGTTCGCCGACTTTTCCCCGATCAGTGGCGTCGTACTACAAGATTATATGACAAAGGGCAAGGGAGGACAGGGAGGAAAAAGCGAACTGGAGAAGAGTTATGGCGCCGTTCGGTACCAGGTAGCGATCTCTCGGCGCGCGGCACCTGTCACGCGAGAAACGCGGACGTGAAACGGGAGCGTCATACCGCAGTTATTGCAGAAAAATCTTTATCTTTGTCTAATTTGAAGTTTTGGGGCCAGCGCGAATTTATGGTGTTCGTACGACGTTAACTCGTTTTAAATATCGAGAGGATCGACTCGGCTGACGATCTCAGATCCCTCTCAAATCGACATGTTCACTCGAGCTTTCGCACTCGTCTTTCACGCAACATTGTGACATTATTTCAAAATTATTACTTACACCGTCGACCTTTAGTCTGATGTCTCGTCCGGCAGCACCCAATAGAGCTCGTAAAATCGACGTTGCCGTGCCAGTTTGTCTTGATGCAACCAGATGAACCGCCGTTTGTTGTCTCGGCTACGCACAGTCGCGCATATATATATATATATATATATATATATATATATATATATAT